TGTAAGTTAAAAAAATTATTATAATATAACACAAGTAAGTCACACAAAACAAGTGTCATACTAAAAATATTATAATATATATATGTTTTTATAAAAGTATTTAAATTTTCATCTATTTTTTCTCCTTAATTTTAGATTTTAAGGAAAAAATTAGCAAGCACCCGTGTAACACACGGGCGTTGTACTAGTTATTATTATTTACATTAAATTGAATAATCAGTTTAATGTCTAAGCCATGGAGAATTTATTCGATTAAAATTATTAAAGTCAGATTTATTTAGCCAAATTATTTCTATTTTTAAAAACGAGCCTTGGAATAATTGTAATTTTATTTAAGCGGACTGAAGTCCGAATACTTAAGGGGCTTGATTATTTATGAAATAATTTGTTCAAAATGAGTTATTTTGGTTAACCATAGTTAATTTTGAAAAATGTGTATGGTTAGTTGTTGAATTTTAAGAATGTATTAAAATAATATTTAAAATAAAATGATTAAAATTGATTAGATGTAAAAGTAAGAGATAAATGATTGAAAATGATATGTGGTTAAAATTATGTGAGTTGATGAATAGTAAATAAAAGTTGATGTGATGTGTAAGAATGATTTGTTTGTATTATTTAATTATATGAATAATATTAAAAATAGTGGAGTTGAGTTAAAGTTGAGTTAGATTTTGAGTAGAAATAAAAGTGAGTATAATAATTTGTAAACAATCAAGCTCTAATCTATTTGAGTCTAGTTATTTTCGAGGGAGTCCAATTATTTTAGTCGGCCCATTTCATTAATCGAGCATATACTCAATTTTATTCGGCCCAAGTAGCCTCGATTTTAATCAAGTCGTCATTTTATAATTCGAGTCCACCAATTACATTATCCATTCGGCCCGATCAATTATTTTAGTCCAAGCTTCGTTATAATTTACCTAGCCAAACATTTAATTATTAAAGCCCAAATGTAACTTTTTCCTAAGCCCAACTAATGTTAGCAAAGTGAGGCCCAATTTCCACTACAAACCCTAACACTCACCTACCTATATATAGGAGAAAATTTATAACTGCCCTTTTTTAATAAAGATTTTACAAAACAATTACTAGCCATACACAATTCTCAATCTACTCCAAACAGTAGAGAAAATTGTTTGAATAGAAAGTTACATCATTTCAAAATTCAACTACTCTTTCTCTTTCCCTCTCTTATCTAACTGCTCTCTTTCTCTCTTTTATTTCTCTCTTACATCTCGTTTTATTCTTTTCTCTCTCTTATTCCCTTTATTCATCATCTTCATCCTCTTCTGAAAAAAAAAACAATTGATTACATATATATATACATACATAAAAAAAATAACATAACAATCCACAACATAAAAATTGAGATAAATATGAAGAACTGGAAAACCTTCGATGTAACAAGAAAACCACAACATAATAACCTAAAAGTAACATGAAAACAACCATAACAACATACAAAGTAACATGAAAAAAACCATAACAATCCAGAGAATAACAAACCTCAACATAATAAAAAATCAACAGACACATAATGAATGAAAATAATTTCCATAGACTTCCTCTAAAAACTCAACCCGATCGTTCAAGGAGTGCGGATTGAAGGCTAATAATCGTCATAAAATTCGTAAAAACACACCAAGCCTAAAAAATAAAAATTATTATAAATTGTCCCTACCGATTGAACTCAAAGATACCCCGTCATTGAGCCGTAACGACGACGAGCAGCCGGAGGTAGTAGATCCTATTATGACGATTTGCCGCTAGGTGATTCTCAGTCGCGCTTTCGATCGCCGGCGCTCATCTCGTCTTTGAATAGCCACCTCTCATCGGCTGCCGAAAACTAGAGTTCCTTCGGTCGTTGTGGTTGCCTACCTCGTGTCGATGTGAAAGGCCGACTGTTGGGAACTTCCTCGATTTGTTGGATAAGGACGCAACTCGTCGTCGGATTTTAATTCTCGTGAAGGTCGTAGACCCGTCGTAGGTCGAGTCGTTCACCTTCTCGCCGGGAAATTGGGGCTCAAGGTCGCTCGGGAATTTCAACCAGAAAGTCGCGGCTCAGGGCTGAATTACTAAGGAAATTGGATGAAAATTTGCAGAAATTCTGAGATGAAAATTGAGGAATGCGGTTGAGGATTCTTACTGCTTAAATAGGGAAGAATTAGGGCAAACCAAATCGGAAACTTCGTGCAAATGAGGGAGCCATAATTTGGGGGGGTGAGGCCGAGAAAGAGGGACACCGTTTGGGATGAGATTCTTACTGCTTAAAAAAATAATAACTGATATTTGAAGTATAAATGAAAATAAATAAAAAAAGTGTATTTGACTTAATAGTAAAGGGGTACAATTATGTAAAAAAAAAATCAGAAGGATAGGTGGCGTCAATATTTCCCTATATATAACATTCTTCTCCCATCTTCCCAACATCACCACCTCCATCCAACAAAATCCGGCGAGCCGCCGCCGTCCAAGCTCCGGCGACCCTTACGCCGGCGAGCTCAACACCAACCGTGCTGCACCTCACCATCGCGAGCTCCCCCGGTCACAGCTCCTCGCCGCCGCCATTTCTGTTGAACCCACAGCCGAGCTTCGTCCTCCACACGTCGTCGTACTCCCAAGCTCCGGCAAGACGCAGCAACTCCTCGCCGCCGTCCGTGCGCGTTCCTTTCAGCCCGAGTTTGTTGTTCCCAGCTCCTCCGTCGCGTCCCAGCAGCTCCAACCGTCCTCCTGCGAGTCACGACGTGCCGTCGGCGAACCACAACAGCCTTCAAACTCCCCTGCCGTCGCAGCGTTCGGCGAGTTCCAGCGCCCTCAGCCCCGGTTCGACCCAGCTGCTCTGAACCTGTGACCCTAGGCTCGTGCTCACGTGCACGAGCCACCAGCAGCGAGCCTGACGAGCCGTCCCTGTGGTCCAACTGCTGTAAACCGGGTCCAACAGCCCTGAACCGACCCTAGCTCCATCTTCACGCGTCGATCCATCTTGATCTGTGTGAACCTGGGCATTCCCGACCAAGCCCGCGACCAACATCACCAAACTCGGTCCAACCGCTCCAAACCGTCCCGACTAAGTCACCGACCGAGTCGACTCAGTCCGGGTCCGAGTGATTCAGCCTCGAACAGGCCGGTTCAGCAGTCCCGACCGCTAAACTGCGTCCAACCGCCAAGAA